CCTTGGGGTAATTACAGGCAAGTCATTTTCACATCCTCTTGAAGTGCAAAGCATCAGAATGAACTCTGTGAATACATGCGTAAGTGCCAGACAGCTGAATCTTTATCAGGTATTGTAAAGATACACATATGATATGTTTATTAAAATTGAAATAATGTAAAACACGTGAATAAATGTGCAAAACCAAGATCACAGTACACCATATGCACTCTGGTACCTGAATTTTTTTTTTTTTTTTTAAATAATAAAAGTGAATATTGAAGCTTCTTAAACTTTGCCTTAATTTTTCATAAATAATATTTGGGGTTATAAAAGAATACATTAAGTACATAGACAAAAAATGTTAAACATAAGGTAATCTATTTTACAGTGTTTCTTATAGGCTTGCAGTTATTTTAGTATATTTCCAATTGTTATTGTGTGTGATTAACTTTTGTGTACATCTAACTTTTGACTACTACACGTGCATCTCTCATCACTCTTCCACCGAATAAACAGACACAAGTAGTATTAAAAAGGTTATAATCCCTTATCTAATGGCAAATTGTGTGTGTGTGTGTGTGTGTGTGTGTGTGTGTGTATGATTTTTTAATCTTGTTCTTTTAAAATTTACCCCTGCAAAAGGCCTACCAGCAACCCTGTCTAGTCATTTATAACTGTTTTTGCTTTATCTCATGAAATTGTTAGAGCCTTTATGAAAAAAATAAATACATGTATACGCATATTGTACACAACTTCTGGGATATCTAGGGTCTAAATTCTATCCATGAACAGCTGCATGCATGTTCTGTCTCATGCATTCATGGACTTTCACCTGTACAAACATACAGGTCCCCATTTGTATAGATTTAGTCCAGTAAGAGAATGGAGAAGCTCAGTAAAGGTAGGATGACTTCCCAAGGTCATACTGCCGACTGACTGACTGGTAATTAATTACAGACCTTGTTTTATAACCCAGGTTTTGCTATTTCAAGTTAGTACTACATACAGCAGGAATCAGTAACGTTTGGCCCTTTAACCCAAACTGGACTGCTGCCTGTTTTTGTAAATAAAGTTTTATTGCAACAGAGCCATGCCTATTCATTTATGACTCCTGTAACTGGAGGCAGTTACACGAAGCTGCCACGTTAGCTCCTGCTTCCTGTCTGAATCATTCTGCATTTCTGTGGTGAAAGTGGACCCAAGTAAGTTCTAGATGTCCTCAGTAAAATCATTACTGTTTCTATGTGATTACATTAAAAATAACGCAAGGAATAGGATGGTACTTTAAAAAGTCAAGCAGTTTTCCTGTTTCTGATCACAATAGCCAATGTTTGTGCACACCCACTGAAAACAACTGAAAAAAAAACTAGGTAAAAATAATGTTTTAAAGAAGTACTAGAGATAGTACAGAGTGTGTGCCCAGTATTAGTTCTGTGGCCCCTTTCCGATGGTAAAAGGCAGGTCCCATCTCATGGGATTTCTTTCCTTCCTCATATTAGCCTGCTTCCTGGGAGAACTTCTCTTTACCCCAGAAGAGCCCCGCCTACTCCTCCTCTTAGGCACCACAAATCTCAAACTCTTTCTCCCTCTACCCCCAGCTCTAATGAAATGTGCAGGGGCTGGATGACTAGAAGCCGCAGCCTGGGTCTCTTCTGACAAGGCAAATCGCTTGACCCCCGTGAATCTCCTTAAGAAAATTAACGGTGTTGATTCAATGTGTCTGTAACAACTAAAAAATTATTTCATTTGAATTAACTGAGTCTTTTCCTCCACTGTGTTTCCTTCTCTGTCTTCCCAACAACCCAGCATTCAGAATACATGTGTCTTTGTCTTTCCTTGTAGGATTTAAATCAGAGAAGCCTGCATAGGGAGATAAATAAGAGGTATCCTTGCCATCTCCCCTAAAGTGGGAAGGGAGGAAACCTTGAATGGGGAAAAGTTTTTGAGGAATAAATTGGGAAACTGAACTTCATGAGTCTGAGTCTGAACGTAGTAAACCAGGGGGAGAAAAATGTATCAGTAGTCATGGGTGGTAAACTAAAAAAGGGAAGCCGACTAAGTAAAATCCTGGAAACTACAATGGAAAGATGTAAGTGCTGCTCTAACATGAAGGGTTCTTGGGCATCCATCCCATCAGCAGAATCTCCACCTGCCCTCCTGATACCCTGAGAGAGCCAGGTCAGGATGTGATGGTGCAGCACCTGCCAGCACTTTGCTGTAAAATGCCTCTGCACTCAGTTCTGCAAATATAGTGCTTTAGTTTAAAACCCCTGCTTTTGTGAGAGGATTTCAAACAACAGTGAATTCAAGCTGAGTCCTCTCAAGGGACAAACATACAGAACTACAGTCTCAATGTCAGTGCCAAGGGTCAGGTTTTCACTGTGCAGCTGGGGCTGCCTGCATACCCAGACACGTAAACCAGATTCACTCTAGAATCAGCCAGGTCTTACCCAAAATGCGAATAGAAGAAAAAGCAACTAAAAATGTATTTTGTAATTTCATTTTGTGTGTGATTTTAAGCCACCTCAGAACTCAGCTGTCTACAATAATTTATTTTCACTAGTAAGTCATATGCCTGGAATTTGGCAGATCTAAACTGGACTTGGGCTAGATGGTTCCAAGCCTGAGTCATTAAGATGTGCAATTTACAGAAACAACAGAGGCTAGAGGAACAAGTTAAAGGACACTCTTAATGATGCAGTCTGCATAATGCAGTAGTATGAAATTCTACAAAAAACTAAGATGAAGGGAGGATCAGATTTCAGAGACATACTAGTTAATCCAATTAGGACCTCATTGGGTTCTGATTGAAACTAAAAATAAATGTCGTAACACTTTGAGACAATAGAACATTTGAACACTACATTACTTAATAATATAAAATACTTTAGATGTGATAGTATTATGGTTATGTATCTTGTATAGATAGAAGCTGAATTTACAGAAGGAATGATTTTTCTGATTCAAATCAATAGGGGAACAGAGAAAGGAATGGTTTAAATTAAGCATGATTTTCCATAAGTTGAAATGTACTTATTTAGCGGAATATTGGCCTACAGTTGCCATATAATAAACTACACGTATTTAAAATGTGCAATTAGCCTACTTTCCTCTATTTAAAAATTTCTGGAATCGTTTAAAGAAAAAGGACATCAATTCAGCCATTCTAAAAGAACACTTCATTTACAAAATAAGCATAAGATCATATTCCTTTGCCCTGGAAATGTGAAAAGTCTGAGAAGAGATTTAAGGGATTGAGTTTCATTGCTGTAATTTTCTTAATAGATTCCACTGCATTGTGTATTTGAAAGGTAGAGGATTTGAAAGAAAATTTGTATAACATTTGGGACAAACCAGAGTTGTTTTTTTTTTAACAGCTTTATTGAAGTGTAATGTACATATCATAGAGTTTAACCATGTCAACTGTGCAGTCTAATGTCTAGAATGCAGCCATCAGCACAATCTGGGTTTTTAGCACTTGGCCAGTCATCTGGAAGAATTCCCTCAAGCTCATTTGTAGCCAGTCTACATTCCCACCCCTAGCTCCAGACAGCCAGTGATCAGCTTTCTAATTCTGTAGTTTTTCTAGAAATTTCATATGCATGGAATCATACAATATGTAATTTTTTGTGTCTTTCACTTAGCGTAGTGTTCTTGAGTTTCAGCCACTTTAGGTGTATCTGTTCACTCTCTGTTGCTGCTGCATATACTGCATTGTGAGATGTACCACATTTTGTTCATTCACCAGTTGATGGATGTTTGGATTGTTTATATTTGAGGCCATTATGAATAATGCTGCTGTACTGCTGTGAACGTTTGTTTACAAGTCTTTGTGTGGACATATCTTTTAAAGTAATGTAGGGTAGTTATCTAGGAATGAAATTACTGAGATTATTTCTTTTTACATTGTAAGAAACTAGCAGACCATTTTCAAAATGTGTACCATTTGACATTCCCACTAGCAATATGTGAGACTTGTAAGCTTTGCACATCCTCAGCAACACTTGATGAATCACCAAATTTACCTTAGAGACTCATAGACTCATATTCTCAGTAGGCAATATCAATAAAGAAAATAGAGACAAATATTTGGAATTATGGCTAGAATATCCATTTGTTCCTTAAACTTACAGGTACTTCTTGTTTTACAGGCAGATTTAAAGATCACTAAGAAATACCAATATGTATGAACATCAGTAAATCATACTAATTGCTGTCTCAGTTATTGCCTCTTTAAAGTACTACTTCTTGTGAATCAGATCTTCCCACCAGGCTCTTGAGGAGTGTCTTGATTCTTCTTGACCTTTTTATTTTCACATGATTTTAGAATTAGCTTGACAAATTCCACAGGAAAGTATATTGGGATTTTTACAATGATTTCACATAGGCTGTTGATCAATTTGGAGAAAACTGACATATTTACAGTGTCTCCTAATGCACAAACTTGATGTCTCCCCATTTAGGTTAGTTTTAATTTGCCTCAATAATGCTAGATACATTTGCATGCACTTCTTGCTTTGTTAGATTTAATCCTAAGTATTCAATATTGCAATTGTAAGTGGTATCTTTATTTAAATTTCATTTTCTATTTGTAGTTGGAATTTACAAATAAAATTGAGCTTTCAATATTGACATTTGGCCACCTTGCTAAACTCTTACAAATTCCAGTATCAATGTGGATTGCCTGCAGTTCCAGAGGTTGGCAAACTATGCGCTGTGAGCCAAATTTAACAGGCTAAAAAGGTTCTTACCTTTTCATAAATGGTTGTAAAAGAAAAAAAAGAAAAAGAATTTGATGTAGAACAGTATGTGACCTGTGCCCTGGAGAGTCTAAAATATTTATTGTTAAAAGAAAAAAAAGCAGACAATACAGAAATTAACTAGAAATTATTAAAGATAATTGACACGGAGGGAGAGTATTTGTAAATTATCTTAAGAAGTTCCTAAAACAACATCCATTTTCTCATTTTAGCAGTTTTTATTTTTAAGCCTATTAACTTTTCTATCACTCAATATCCTTTTTTTTTTTTTTTGCTGCAGTTAAAAAATCTGTAAAAATAGATTCTTCAAACTTAAATATAGTGACCCTGTCAAGCCCAGTTTCAAAAAGCATGTGACAATATATTGAGAAGTTTAAAAATGTGCTATAGCAGAAATAGGGAAGAAATTTACTTAGTAATTTATCCATGTAAGATTTATTAAAGATGTAACCAAGACTTTGGAACCAACAAAGCTACTTTCATATTTTTATGGTATTCTTTCTAGATATTTAGATTAACCAGATCCTCTTAAATAAGTTACTTGAGAAAGTTTCTGCAGTATTGTTACATTTGTTCTAAGTATACAAGTTGTTTCTCTGTACTACCTTCTCAATCCTATAAAAGAAGTCTTTATTACCAAAGCAATTTCTAACACATTACTCAAAAGATTGGATTTAGTCCCATTTTAGTATCCCCTTAAAAAGTTTGACTGATGACTCTGGATATTCAGCCAACAGTGTTGTGTCAAAAACTTGCTTGAATTTATCTAAAAATTCATAGTCGGTGCTGAATCTGAACTTGTTTGCCCAAAGCAGCACCGTCCCTGGCTGGGAAAGGTACACCATGGTGGTGAGCAGCTTGTCCAGGAAGTAGTGATGGTAGACCACATCCGAGGCTAGGACATAATCATAGTAAAAAGCTGACTTGGGAAAGTTTTTTTCTAGGTCTTCACCCCATACCAGTTCTTTCACTTCAGGCAGATGTGCTGTACATTGTAGTGTGTTTTTTAGAAGATTGTATTGAAGGTTTCCCAGGACATCAGGCAAATCCGTTGCTGTGACTTGAGCTCCTAAGAGAAAAAGAAAAATTGCAATAATGATCTGGAAACAGTTGGGCAGCCACAGTGTACATATACCCAGGGAGAAACACGAGAAACAACTGGATTCCTTAGCCTTGGCTCTACTGGGTGGGCTGAACACGTGTGACTCAATGCGGGCTGGCTAAAGTTTCTCATGAGCAGTCTTGCCCTGTGCACTGTAAGACGGTGAGCAGCCTCCCTGGCCTCCAACCACCTCACCCTCCCCCGGGCTTGACAACAGAGATTCAGAGTCACGCCTCTGGACTCAACTTTGTCCCATGGAAACTGGGTGATTAGAGATTAACCTCCCTGAGACTTGATAATCTCTGTGGATAATAGTAATTCCTGCCACATGGCATTTGGGGAAGATTCACTGAGAGAAGTCAGGGCCAGGCACCTAAACCACAGCCTGTCATATAGTAAGCACTTGCTATCGCGGTTACAGTAAAGTTCTGGGCACTAGGTCAGGAATAAACAAACAAACCTAAAATACTGGCCACAGTGGAAACAAGGCCTGGTCCGGCACCAATTTCAAGTATTTTTGCATCTTGGAAATTCAGTTCCTCAGCATGTTCCTCCAAATATTGACACAAAGCCATAGCCTAAAAGAAATAATTATAACTTTTCATGTGGGCATTGGAACATTGGAAACCAGTAGCAACCCTTTCTGGCACTCAAATTTAAATACTAAAAGACACGTTATTAAATATGTTCAGTTTATGTTCATAAGAACCCAAATGTATGCTCAATGCCATATTTAGACCTCTGAAATAGAGAAGTTATAGTAAATTGCTTCTATCTAAGGAACTGGGGAAGCAGATTTGTTAAATTGCCTCCATCAGATTTGCTCAATTTCCAAAGAACAGGAAGAACAGCAGATCAGCTTAGCTATTTCCAATCAGGACAATGTTGGGCTAAAGAAACAGCAATTTCTTCCTCTGGTTTAATCATGTCGGGTCTCCAACTCCTTTAAGAATGTTGTTTTATATTAGAATTCTTTCTTGTAAGAGAGTTTTTTTAATTATAGAAATAATTTTTTAATGTCATTTTATAAACTTGAACACCTCTTTCTTGACTCCTTTACCAAAATTCAGGTTGGCTAATGCATTGGCGTCTAGAGCAACGGGGCAGTGACTTTTTAAGTGGTTCATCTAAGAAACAGGCTGTTGAGAAACTGCTTCTCAGACTCCAGGGTGCAAACAAATCCCTTGGGTAGCTTGTTATAGATGCAGATCCTCATTCAGTAGGTTGAGAATGGGGCTCAAGAGGCTGCACGTCTAAACAAGCCCCGACATGGTGCTCATCTGCTGGCCCACGGACCGCACTTTGAGTAGCAGCAAGGAGATTTTTTTAAATGTTTTATATATGAAAAATCTTTTTTTTTAATACAGGAAATCAAACATCCCTTTCTTCTTTATACCTTCCCTTCTGCCTCCACCTTCCCCTAACCCTTCTACAAAGGAGTAAAGAGTATTTGATTTGCATTGATTGATGAGATGTTTACATTTATGGCAATGAGGCATCAACTAGCAGTGCCCTGGATTTGAGAGATTAGGAAGATGACATAGTTGCTTCAATTTGCGTATGAATAGCCTAGAGTCAGGAATGTGAACACTGTGATTTAAAAAAACAATGAACTCTATAATTTACTTACACATTTAGGCCCTAGCTAAAGATATGCCCCATCTTCCTCGGGACTCTACTTTCTATTTGGGGCCCAGTTGGAGTGGGGCAGCCAGGATGGCTGGAGACGCGCCACTCTTAGGATTACCAACGGTAGGCTTAGTTGCCAACTTGACCCTGTAAGCCACTCCATTTCATCCTCATCTGTTCATATTGAACTTCCACAGGCAACGATGAACATGACACAGTCACCTCGACTGTCTGGGAACTCAGGGGTGGGGCTGGGGGACCAGGTAAGCCAAATACAAACTGCGTTCCGGGCAGGTAAGTGCTGGAGAGGAGGCATACAGCAGGGTGAGGGGAGAGGGGTCTCCACGGAGCCGCCGAGGCTTCGGGGCCAACTTCCAGCACCAACCGCAGCACGCTGCAAGGAGCTCCAGAGTTTACAAGGGAAGTTTTGGAGAAAAGAGTTCTTTGGTCCTTACGGAGAGAAGCTAAGTATCTGCTGTGGGGGCTGGGGGAAAGGAGTCAGTATCAGGAAGAGAGTGTCACCTAGAGCCATCTAGAGGGCAGCTCTGAGGAACTTCCTGCAGATAGCCGCAGGCCTCCTTCCAGGTGCCCTGCCATGGGAGGGGCTGGCCCCAGGGGTGTCATCTGGAGATAAAGGTTTTCTTGGGGACAGCCATGTCTTTTGACATTGCAAACATTCCCCCCAGCCCCTAGTCCTGTTAGCAAACTCTGAAGGGATCTTTTCACAGAGCTGCACCTGAAGTCACATGGAAAGGGCACTGTCTCATTTTAGATAACCTTTTGTGTGGCTTTCAGGAAACAGGTTTCATGAGAGGCTGATGTTTGGTGCATGAATCATGCCTTGTTCAAAATGAAACAGGTGGGCAAATACTCTTTTTTCTGATCTCTTTCTAAATTTTTTTCTTTTTTTAAGAGAGATGGGGGTCTCACTGTGCTGCCCAGACTGGTCTCAAACTCCTGAACTCAAGCACTCCTCTTGCCTCAGCCTCACAGTGCTGGGGTGACAGGTGTAAGCCACATGCCGGCCTCTGATCTCTTGTCACTACACCACTTTGTCACTACACCACTGCTGTTGTCTATTTGCCTAATGTATTATAATAGAAAGCTGTGAGTTGTTTGGTGATTTTCAAACTTGTTTTCAAGGCAAAGAAAAGCCTTTGGTTGAAACAAATTATATGCATAAGGTGTAAAAATAGAGCTTCCTGTTGGAGAGTGGGTGAAGGTGGACCCCCTAAGAGCCTGGAGCCCTTCTGCTACCCTTCTCCCCATGCTGTGTCATCCACAGGGTTCCTGAGGGAGCCCCAAGGAACTGATAACCAGGACTACTCAATACGGGGGCCGTGGTGCAACAGATGTGCATCACGTGGGAACGTGTAAGAACTGCGCCCCACCCCAGACCTCCTGAATCAGAATCTGCATTTGAACAAGACTGCAGATTGAGAAGTTCTGATCTGGAGCCTCTCTAAGTATTGACAATGTCTGCAATGGGAAAAGCGATGGCGCTGGCTCCAAGGGCCACTGCCCAGCTTGGCTCTGCCCTGCACCCCAGTCAGGAGCTTTACCACACCAGCGGACTGGCCTGCGTCCCCATTTCCTCAACTGAAAGGTGGAAAGAAAGAATATTACATTAATGACGACAGCTCATGTGAGCTTACACTAGGACTTCATTTAATCTCACAACCTAAAATTAATTCTTGTAATTCTGAGCATCATGTCAGGAGTGCTGTAGGCATTACCACTACCCTAGTTTTAAAAATGGTAATGAAGGCAAACAGAGGTGAGGTGAACGTTTGCGACCACCCAGGCTGGAAATGAAAGCTTTTCCTACTCAAAATCCAGAGGACTGCCCCATTTCAGCACCATGCTCTCAAGGCTGTGGCAGCGGTGACATGTCATGAAGTCATGCCTCCTAAATCCCTACCAACACGGCCCAGGTGGAAAAGAGAAGAATGGCTGGCTGGGTGCGTTGGCTCATGCCTGTAATCCCAGCATTTTGGGAGGCCGAGGAGGGAGGATCACTTAAGGTCAGGAGTTCGAGACCAGCCTGGTCAATATGGTGAAACCCTGTCTCTACTAAAAATACAAAAATTAGCCAGGTGTGGTGGCAGGTACCTGTAGTCCCGGCTACTTGGGAGGCTGAGGCAGAAGAATCGCTTAAACCAGGGAGGTGGAGGTTGCAGTGAGCCAATATGATGTCACTGCACTCCAGCCTGGGCGACAGAGCGAGACTCTGTCTCAACAAAAAAGAGATGGATGGCTGAGGGTCGGTGGGAGTGGCTGGGAGATGCCCACTGCAAAGTCTAAACTCTAAACCCCTGAGTTTTTTCTTAACAGTTCATATAAATTTTGCATTCACCTCCTCATATAGCTGAGTTTGTTTAATATAAAAATATTTCAAGAAACAGAGCTTAAGGCAAAACCAGTGCTTCTGAAAAAATACTGTTTTGCTGATCACAAGCACACCACCAACATCCCCCAGGGCACGAGCAATTGAACCTCAAATTGAGAGACACAGGATATGAAGGAACTTGACATATTGTCCAAGGCAACTCCGAAGTATGCAATTGTTATCTGCAGAAATCCTGACATCACAAACGTGACAGTTCTCTCACCCCTGGCCACACCACCGCTCCGTAACTCTCTATGGATTCCTGGATGACAATCTCCTTTCCTGCAAACCGATAATGCTCCTGAGTGTAGCTGGCATAATCTGTAGGAACAAATTTCTGGAGGCTATGAAGAGATTGTTCTATCTTGTTGGAATCTGTGAAGCAGAAAAATAAAATGGGGTTTATAATTTGTTAAAATCCTGTGCAAAGACACACTTGGTACAATTGCTAAGACGGCATTAGATTCAGCGATCTTCCTTAGGAACAGAGAGGATAATGCTGCGCAGGAGAATGGCTGTAAACTGGCATAAAATTGAATTTTATGAGGCAATGGGGACAGGAAATTTGAATGTGACATTTTTATAGGATGACAAAATGCCAAAAGATGCTCTGGGCCTTTCCTTATTTAGGGAAGGACAGAAGAGGTATGGATTCGCTCCCAACCTATGTTTTTCTGATGGAAAAATGGCAAACTTACCAGCAAAATGGCACGAATGAGCTGTCTGGATACAGAGGAACTAGGTAAACACAGACTTGCCTTTATTTATTTATTTAGAGTCGGAGTCTTGCTCTGTCACTCGGGCTGGAGTGCAGTGGCATTATCTCAGCTCACTGCAACCTCCACCTCCCGGGTTCAAGTGATTCTCCTGCCTCAGCCACGTGAGTAGCTGGGATTACAGGCATGCGCCACCACACACGGCTAATTTTTGTATTTTTAACAGAGACAGGGTTTCACCATGTTGACCAGGCTCGACTCGAACACCTGACCACGTGATCCACCTGCCTCAGCCTCCCAAAGTCCTGGCGTAAGCCACCGCGCCCAGACAGACCTGCCTATTTTTAGGTCTTGAAGTGAGGTAACATTCCCACATGTTGGCTGGAGCCTGTTCCTTCAACCTTTCCTACAATTGCTGCTCAAAAGGTAGAGGCCACCCAAGCCCAGCCAGCCCCACAGCCCTGGGGGAAGTTGGCAGCTGAGCTCTGGCTATTAAGTTACTACTGCTTTAAATACTCCTTTAAACCCATGACACACACTAGCAGCTCTCAAATGGCATATAAAATGAGAGGAAAAGAGCACCTGATCGGGCTGACATGGGATCACAAGTGTTTGCAGGTTTCCCAGAGTGTTGGAATAAAAAGAGCAGTGAGTCAAAGTGTGGGGAAGAAGGATCAGGAGCAGGGGAGAAGGTGTTGGTCCCAGCGGTGGCAAAGAATTACCAGTGTGGAGACTGTCGGCGGTGGTGGGGTGGGGGGCGGGCAGGGAAGAATGTCACTTCTGTTTGCATGAAACCTGCCTTTGTGGCCTGAGATATGACTGGAAAATTTTTAACTGGGGGTAAAATATGAGCTTTGAAAAAATCCGGAAGGGGCAGCCGGCGAACATTGGAAGTGTTTTAATCTGAAATAGACACTCCGGGTGGAAGGCAGAAGGAGGTGAATGAGAGGCGAAGGGAAGCGGGCCCTGGAAGAAACGCGGTCGGCAGGGCGTTCCCCAGGTCGGGGACGGGCCCCGCAGGTGTCGGACGTCTCACTCATGCCATACACACTGGAACCGTTCCTTGCCACCGCTCTGCAAAGCCTGCTGACAGCTCCACAGTAAGTAGAGGAATTTGGAGGGAGCCTTTAGAAATAGTCACAACCATTTGACAATGTCTGTTGAATTTAATTAAGAACAAAACCTGGAGCTTGTATTTTATATGTTTGTATATATTTTCATTTAGTTTCCCTAGAAATTCATTTTTGTTTTATATTACAAAAGTATCAGTGTGCAGCACACTAAAAAATATATGAATGAAGTGACTCATTTGTAAATGAGCATCACAGGTGCCTTCCACTCTTCGGAGTGTTGTTTTTGGCTGTGATTTTGATTTAGTATGTCCTACCACTTTGAAGGAGAATTCTCTGCCCTGACAAAAAGGTGAGCTTCCAGAAACCTGGGACCTCAGTGAACTTGCAAGACCCCTCTATAAAAGGTAGCCAATTCAGTCCTGAGACCGTGTCCTTTCTGTCACCTGCCCCGGTAGGAGGTTGTAGGGAGATCGTAGGGGAAGGAGGGAGCCCTGTAGCTCTCCCCACCTTTTTTGGGAAGCCACTGATACTTAACAGAACCCTAGCTCCTACCACATGGCTGAGAAGGTGACCCTGAATTCTGGCTTAGAGGCAGGAAGAAGGCAGAAAAGTATAGGCTGATTGATGTTTAATAACCAGTTCAGCCAGAGGGGAAGAAGCGTTGATTGACAGGGTTTGATGATTGCTCTGGAGTAAATACTCCCACCCCGGCGATTTCAGAGGAGCATTGTGACGTCACTGGGGAAAGACGTGCAGTACTTCACCACTGTGTAGGGTTCCTACCGTACGGATACCATATACATGATTAATCTCGAGAGCACAGATATTAGGAAGATGTAGTAGAATAATTGATGAGTTTTGAGTATTTATCTCCTTTGCTTTTAATATGCCTTTGTCTTTGATATAATCTATTTAATCATAAGATTCTAACTTAAATTGAATGATGGTCATATTTAACAACGAGCTAGAAAAGTTGCTGAAATTCAGGTGCCGATACAAGCCATCTCCAACAGACTACTCGGTGGTGGCTCAGAGCATCAGGGACCCGTACCAGCCCCTGCGGGCTTCCCTGCCCTGCCCCACTCTCATCCAAGCCATGCCTGTCCCTCCTCTCACATGTCACCGTCTGGGGACTTATTTTTCTCTAGAGACTAAGAAGAGTTAGTAGGGGGCTGATTTTGAATAGCTCATCATTTCAGAGGTAAATAAACTGACAATTAAGCTTGACAGCTACACTCTCCCAATCAACATTGTAAAGAAACATAGACATACACGTCTTCTGTAAGACCCTGTGAGGTTCTACAAAGATAAACAAATGTATGTTTATGGCGCCTTAAACATTTTCATTTATTCTAGCTGTACTCTTCTGATAGTTTTACAGAAATCAGATTTTCAGATAAGGTAGAGTTGCATTTTTGTGTAAACAATTCAGTAAAAATAGATACCATTCTCATTTATTAGTGTTGGAATGAATTTTTTTTTACCACTTTTAATTTTAAACACTCTAAATGCTGCATCTTGGCATTTATTAGCTCATTTGTTGTATCTGTTATTTATTTACAACTGAATCCATGCCCAGAAATGTAACCCTAAACTGTTATATTGTCCTAATGGGAAAATACAGTTTGATTTATAAAGATTCATTGTATGGCAAAGCTGCCAAGAATGCATTTTGGTGAAAAACAGAAACAAATCTAGATTTTTTTTCTTCTAAGTTCTTGTTACAAAAATATAGCAATCTTAGATCTATACATACAATAAAAACAAATGTGTGAACTTTGATAAGTACATCATGAAAAAACAGAATTACTTTTAATGCTATGTTTATGCTTGCAAAACACCATTTTTCCACTAAGCTTCATTATAGTAAAAAATCTAGTGGTAAAAGGAAATGGAAATTCTTGTCACTGAAATTTACTTGAAAACGTCATTGCCGGGAAAGCAACTGAGGAAAACTGTTGAAGTGATGAAGAAGGAGGTTACCTTCTACGGGTCCCCCGGTGCTGTCTTTCTGCAGAACCCCCTTCTTCTCGGCCCCTAACCAGCCACCTGGCGAGCTCGGTTCTTCTCCCTGGCGCCCAGGCTGCTGCGCGGAGCTCAGACACATGTCCATAGCCGGAGCCTGCAGAGAGGAAAGAACTGGACAAGGCTGGAGGCGCTCAGCCCAAGACATTCCCCGAGGGCTCCGAAAGGTGTAGCTTATCTGAGCTGAAAAGAACGCCTTGCTTTTCAGCTTAGTTCCCTGAGTGAGCAAAGCAGCCACCCAAGGAGCTGTCATCCCGGCTTCTCAGAGCAAGATACAGGGAAACCGTGAAGCATTACTGAACCTATGTGTGTGAAGAAATACAGGAACAGCAGCTGTGACCTGGAAACCGGTTTTTTGCTGCTCGGGGGCCTATACCAAGTTTTGTTCTTTTGAAAAGTTATTCTTTGCCATCCTCCTCCCCACTCCAAATATTGTAGCCCATCACTAGGTTCTGGGACTCGAAACTGTGTCTCTAATAACTTTTGGACTAAATCGTGAAATCTGTCCAGACTTGCATGCCACGGGGGGTACATGTGGATTCTGGGGTTAATGACATCATGGATGAGAAGCTGGATTTTGGAGCAAACACAAGGCTGCCCTGCTTTCCTCTGGGGCTCCATTGCAAGACAGTGGAAAGCACTGGGGCTGGGGCCAGGAGCTCGATTTGGCTACTGCCCTAAAACTGGGCAACTCACTCAGTCCTCTCAGGGACCATTCTGTCATCAGTGAAAAAGCGATCATAATATCCGCCTACCTCCTAAGGCTGTGGTGAGACACGGAAGAGCGAACGTGATGATTAAAGTACAGGAAATGGTACCTGGTACAGAACAAGAGACCTAGTTGTTGGGATCATTGATGGGTCCCAAAATAACAATGCCTGACATTGCTGGAGGAATTCCCACATTGTTGCTGCACATAGTTCTTGAAGGGCTTGGTGTATATTCATTGAATCCTCACAACAACCCTATGAAGTAGACACTGACATGACGCCTGTCTCAGATGAGATAAATTCAGGCTCAAAATTGCCCTCAGAGAACAAAGCACAAGAAAGTTCGCCAGGCCCCCACCGTGTGGGTAATTCCATCTACACCTGTGAGGCCACGTGCCCCACATATGTCTACACAACAGATTTCAAAGAAATGTGACTGTGGTGGAAGTAATGTAGCATTTCAAAGATGGTCATCAGTACAGTTTTACAAACAACCAACTATTCACCCCAATTTTCCAGCTTACCCAGACAGCCAAGAATGATCTACCAGGCTGTGCTTCACTGGAGAATCTGTTTCTCTTACAGATGCTCACTTGCTTCTTCTTTCCAGCTTTTCCATAACTCCAGGAAGTTAATTGTTCCCCTAGAAAATAGCAGACTGGTGGTTAGAAAGTAGCTGAAGGGTCCACAGTGTAGACATCTCAGCACTGCGGTGAGAAAACTGCCTGCCTTTGACTCTTGGCTGTGCCATGTACAATCCTTGTAAATAATGCAGACGATGGTGACACCTGGTTCATATTATGGTTGTGGGAATTAAGCCCATGCAAAGCCTCCTGCACATACAATATTGACTGCTGTTATTGTCTCCACCGTTACAGAGGAGACACATAGTGTGACATTGTATACCGAATTTCAACCTGACACCATGGACCCTGCACATTAAATCTAAGATATCTTCATTTCTCATGCAAGAAAAGTACCATTTTCAGTGAAATGCCAGTGACAGTTTTCCTTGTGAAATGAAATGATAGCCTCTCCATCACTATAGCCATGATAAATTAATTTTTCCCAAAGACAGCCGTGCATTAAAAAGCAATCTAGAAAAGAACTGCTGTAATCTACTGACTGACTGTTAATACTTCAGCACATCTATGATCTACATCACGTTTGTATTTAATAAAGAATTGGAAATGACTCCTTGTTAGTATGCCCCAAATCATTTTGAACTGTTAGTTTAAACGTAGCTTTACCTTATGCAGCAGACGAGATTTGAGGGTTCTGTGCACCCTTTAACCCCCAGTGTTTTATATAGGCCTACACCTGAAAGGATTAGCATTTTATGAACAAAAGCCAGCCAGTGGAAGTCCAAGTTATTTAGGGTAGCATTATCTACCAGTCCTCATAGACACATTACTTTGCTAGAATTCTCTCTCTTTCTTTCTCTCTCTCTCATACACAAGCACATACACACAGTCCTAGCAACAGTAGATGGAACTGCCCTCAAAAGATACAGGAATATCACTCCAGTAGAGCAGAGGCTTCCCCGTGGCATCCAGTTGGTGTGACATGGCTGGAAACATTAGACTGCCAGTTCACTTTTAAAAGAAGTGGGTGTGGGCAGTTGCACAAGTCTGCAAATTTTGTGCTCATTTGCCAAACTCCGGTAGCCACAGGGAGGACATGCCTGCCCAGCCTCTGCCTAGGACCCATATCCTGGCAGCCAGAAAGAACACAAGGATGTACCAAGAGGAAGGGAATGCTTCTGGGAGGAAGAAAGGAGAACGTCTATCCATGAGACGGGACAGGAGTCAAAGGCTTGAAGTTGAATCTGGGAGATTTAGAAGGAGCAGAGCAAATAGGAAATCAGAAAAGCTCTTCCAAGAAAAAGTAAGCCATTGTGATTTATTTAATTGAAAAAGGGACAGTTCAAAGGGAAAGAGGAAAATCATGTCATGTGCTCATTTGTGAAGCTCAGAAACCCTTAAAATAGAATATAGGTCATGTAAAGTAAAGCCGCAGACGAATGGGAATGAAAGCATCATTTGTGATAGGCTACATTCAACCAGGGAGTTGGAGGAATGGTGTTTTAACTCCAGTAGCTATAAAAGCCTGTTTTTGGTTTTTTACCCACCCTTGGTGCTCGTTTCTCTGGTGTCACTATTTTGTGTTCCCTATGTCAGTTTCTTTTCACTCAGGATGTTCATCTAGATGAGCTGCGGTTCCATATAAATCATCTTTCCCGCATGCTTCAGTGATGGGGGATGAGCCGGCATTTGTTCCAGCTCTGTCATTCCAGTGCTTTCTTATTCCCAAAATGCATCCAGTTCCATGATTGCATTCTGCATCTCTATCCCTTATTTCTTCCAGGTATCACCAGTCCCTATGAGAAATAGTAAAAAGATTGTCATCAGTACAATTTTACAAAAAACTTTTGAAAACTGATTGCAATGTACATGAATATATGCGTATATGTTTATATACATATATACACACAGACATGCATTTGCATTCATTCTACAAGCTTTAAAGTAAAGCAAAGGACAAAGGAAAATATTTAATTTCCTTTAATTCTACTTCTAGAGAAAGAAACCTCACTAACATTTTTTTTGGATCCACTTCCAGGCTTTTTTTTGGTATAAGCTTTTTAAAAGCAATTTTACTGAAAATGTGACTGGACAGAAACATGTACCTCTTTAACTTAGCATCCTATTAAGAGTTCCTTTTTAATACTTTCTTCAAAGTCATCTGTTACATAGCTGCTTTAACATATCAGAGCTCTATTGCCTGGAGCTAGAGCACAGTAGATCAAAGGCTCTTAAATGCTGGACTTAAATGTAGGCAGGATTGTAGAATGAATGCGTGTGTGTGTGTCCTGGAGGATGAGGGGCTGGAAAATTGGGATCATTGATTGGTCAGGGTGAGGAGGATGAAGTCATCAGGATGTGGAACCTGTGTCCTTTGGTGACTCTGCTTCTTGTGAGGTCCTTCAGACCTGCTGATGCCAGTGGTTTTATGCAGGATGTGAAAGAACATCTTGAACAGAAAACAACATTTCATATGGTCCAAATCGCCCAGAAGCTTTAACATGCATGAACTCTAGACTATGGCAATTCTTGTTCACAGGCTTGAGAAGGAACCAAGAAGTTGAATTCCCTGTCTGAGAATTGTTTCCTGACATGTGGTAGCACCTGGCACATAGTAGGTGGTGTAGTTGCTGAATTTGTTGTTGAGCAAAGCTTTGAGTACCCAGGCAGCCGTGGGAAGACTCCGAAGGTTCACGGAGGGGTTGGCGGGGGGCAGGGCAGGGAGGGAACAGAGCAGGGACACACAAGTTGTTTTCAAATAGTTGAAGTGCAGCCCATGAAAAGGATTAGTCCTCTTGCACAGCTCCAGAGGGCACGCTGATTAAGTCAGTTACCGGGAAGCAGATTTGGGCTCAACAGGAAAGAACTTTCTATCTGACAAGCAGAGCAGTGGAACAATTGATCACAAGAAGCCTCCATAATGGAAAGTGGGCCAGATTTGGAGTCAGACGATACTAGATTGGATCAAAGACTCAATAAGGAGGCTATTAATGTGCTGTCACTCGCCTCTGTCCATCAGTGTGAGCACTGCCCTTTTTCCTATGGAATCTGGCTCTTTTGGGCTGTGGTTGTCAAGGGAGAATCCTCCCCTCCTGCCAAAGGCACATTCAGCAAATCTGAGGGAGACATTTTTGGTTATCACAATAGGGGGTGGGATGCTCCTGGCATCTAGTGAATAGAGGATGGTGTGAAACCTCCTACAGTGCACAGGGCAGCCCCTCACAGCAAAGAATTACCCGGCTCACAATGTCTACAGTGCAAAGATCAAGCCACCTTGGGACAGGCAAAGGATTGGCATTGCCATGAAGGGTAAACCCCAGTTGTCATCCTAGGTGTCTACTGACTGAGTGATCTCAGGTGAGTTGTTCCCACCTCCCCTGTGTCTCAGTTTTCATCTATATGCTGAAGGTGGATTCACATTGATCTAGGGACCAATCCTGAGCTGCATCTTCGAAGCATCCTAGCAGCCCCCAACTTACTTAGTCTGGTTTCTCGAAGAAGCAGACACAAAGGCAGGGATTTGAGTGAAAGTATTTAATTTAGAGAGTATGAATAATACAGCAAGGAAAGTGGATGCAACCCATGGAAAGGGTGACATCTTGCCACATGTGTGCCACAAGACCAACAAGAGCAGCAGGCGACCAGAGCTTAATCCCATGGGGAGATACTGGGAAAGGAGGCAGAACATACACTTCAGAATGATTCCACTCCAGCTTCAGAGAGCTCCTGTGGTATTTTTCCACCAGGACCTCAGCTACACGTGCAGAGCAGTAGCCGGGGCACTCCAACACGTCTGACAGGCGTGAGAGAGGCCAGAACAGCATCTGCTACAGCTTCATAAGATGCCATCATTCCTTTCCAGAATCATCAGGAGCAAGTGAAATTTTATATATCTGAAAGAATCTGGCACAGTGTCAGGTGCTCAGAAGGTCCTCAATAAGTAAATGTCTCATATTATCTTGCATGTTGTTCAAGCAGAGGATTGAGTCACAGCATTCTTTGGAAGGGTCCTGAATCACTCACCTAATCATATGGAAAAGCTGAGCACCTGAAACTGTCCCAAGAAACTTTATTAAAGTAATCAGGGGAGAAGGGAGGTAGGGAAATGAGACTAAAGAAGCTTGCAGTATGTCCAGCACTGATTAT